GGGTGGGGGGTTTGTTTTTTAATTTTGGGGGCTAGAAGCATTGTTCCTTACTTTTTTTTATTTAAAAATTGATAACTCGTCAAAAGGAGCATACACTTGTCGCTGTAGTATACAAATATTATAGAAGAGAAATCTATAATTAACATTATTCATTGTTTATAGTTTCCTTTTATCTACAAGTACGTTATTGCTAGGTCTTAATAACCTGATTGATGTTAAAATTATCTCTGACGACATTAAGGTATTTACCGAGAAAAAAAAAATAGGTCTATTTTTCTAATCGTACAAGTTTAAATACTTTTTTGCCGCCGGAGATAATTTTGATACCAATCAAATTATTGTGTACTGTTTTCAACACCAATTTGATAAGGAAAATGACTTAAGGACCCAAAATATGCGGACCAAGAGAGGGGACAGGTGAGGTGTTCCCTCCCTATTGCATAATGAGTTAGCATAGCCAACTCATTATGCAATAGGGAGGGGACACCTCACCTGTCCCCTCCATTGATTCCATATTTTGGGTCCCCGTAGCAACACTCATTTGATAATTTAGTCTTATTGGAAGGATTGATTACCATGAAATTGAAAGCAGTATCATCATTGTAGCATTTTAGTACTTTCGTCGTAGAAACACTCGGAGATATTCGCATGACACCCGTCATTGAAAGTTTATTTATGCCTCTAATTAATCACTTATTAGTTGGGAACTAATTGTGATTAGAGAGATCATCAAAAAAAGGTCAAAATAATAGGCCAAAGGCGGTGGGCCTTTTCTGAAAATGGGAGTGAGCTACTGTCGCAATGTTGGGCTGTTGCTTGCTTGTTTTGAGGAAGCACATGAGTTTATCGTTGGGTCTGAGCTCAGGGCCCACTTGTTCGGTCCTTGGAAAAAGAACGAACAAGGTTTTGTCTTAATTTGAACTCTGTATGTTTTCTTCCGCTTTGTTCTAATAACGCCTCCCTCAAATTGGAAGGCTTGACTCGTGCTTTGTGTGTTCGTAGCGAGTGAATGAAGGGTTGTTCGCCCATAATCATCTTAAAATCTATTCTATATTCAAACTATTAAATTTCAAAGCGGGGAGTAAAATGACAAGAATATCGCACAGTAACCGCTTTTGTCACACCAGACGTATGTTATAATTAGCAAAATACAAATTTGTGGGGGGCAAATCTAGAAATAAGGTAGATACGAGGGGGTATATATCAAAAAAAAAAAAAATTACCCATGTAAATTCAAATAAAAAGTAGCTGTCACTTTGCTTGCGTGCTCCAAATTGAAATTGGTGTGATACACCTCACACAGAGCGTCCTTCAGCGGGAGAACTTTTCAGTGAAGCAGGACAAGAGCAAGGCCCAGTTTGACCGGAACTTAATTAACTTGGGGAAGTGTTTCATGCTCTGTATGGGCTCGGCTTTGGATCCTTTTTGCACAGTAACCGCTCACATGCATGCATAATGCGTTGGCAGAGCTTTTATTGTGGATTTTTCCATTTCGGTGAAAATTTAATTTTTTTGAATAACTGCACCCCTTTCAATTCTACGGCCCATATTTAGATTTCATAGACTTCAATGGTAACATTTGGTAGCTGTTGGAAATTTGGGCAACTGTGAAAGGAAAGGCCTATGTTACCATACTAGGTCATATTGGTCAATGACTAGTCTGAGCTTAATTCCAAGAAATGTAGAATTGACAAAAAAAATTAAAAAAAATAAAAGATAATTAAATATCCACAGTTCGCCGGATGTCGCACCAAAATATCCAAAATTCAAAATCTGACGATTATATATCCAGAGTTTCTAAAATTTGTACTTACCAAATGTAATACAAAGGTATAAATTTCACTTCGGAAATTCTCATGCGACACTCAGTTGCTATTCTTAAAATATCTTAAACTTAATTTTTGTTAATCTATTATTAAACCGCTCAAAATCCTACTTCAAATCTACTCTAATTTTATATTAAAATAGGATATTGACGAGTTTAACAATATATTTAATAAAAAATAAGGATTAAAATGCTCTAAAAGTAGAATGCGAGTGTCCCCTGATAATTTTCGGGACGAAATCCTCATGTTTGCATGGATATTAAAGTTCAAGTTTTAGAAACATAATGGATAACTTATATGATCTCATTCACTCCAAAGGAGAGTTCCTTGGAACTGCTAAACAGAGAATTATTTGGCAATCTCTGTTTCCAACTACATGTTGGTGCATATGGCATGCACGAAACAACAGGGTCTTTCACAATGTACCACCTAGTGTCGAAAGTATTATTAACTCTTCGGTTCACTTTATCAATGAATGGACATGCTCATCCTCAGGGAAAGCTACAAAAACTCTCAAGCTAGCAGCAATGAAGCTAGCAATGAAAGGACAAGAACTCATATCAGTTCCAATATTGAGCAGCCCAGAGTGAAGGCAGGAAGCTTAGACAGTGCAAGAACAAGATGATACAGGACAGATGCAACTAGACGAAGAGGCAAGAAGACCTCGCATATCATCTGTCAGGCCAAGTTTTTCTATTTTGCGTGTATATATTTGTTTTGATGGTTTTCGGGGGTAGAAACTCACTTTTCTCCCCCCCTCCTTTTGGTCATGTGACCGGCTTTGGTCCACAATTATATCAGTGTTGTGGTGAATGACGGCTAGGGTCCTCTCGTCACCCTCATTGATGTAAATTTGTTGGAGGTCTCATGTTCCAATTTGGGAGAAATGTTATGTTTCTACTCCAAATTTTATAGGACACCACATCGTGCCCATCTCTTTATATATGAATGAAATGAACATGGATTTTCTCTTGTTTTCCGCTAAAAAAAAGTTTTAAAGACTTTAGCGTATATAAGCGCTGCTAAAAAAGGTTAGTATATAAGTGCAAATTTTAAAAACTTTAGGGTGTGTAATTGCTAACAAAAACAAGTGAGAGCATATAAGTGCAAAGTAGAGGAAACTATAGGGTATTTTATACGAGAAGCAAAGTCTTGATGGGTCCAGAAATTTCTCATATCCGTTCACTTGCAGTACTCGAAGATACACTGATCAGCGTCTATGCGAGGAGGGACATTGTTGGGGCGTAGTTGTTTCCAGGCCACATGTAGAGGATAGCAAATAGATGAGGGAACATAATGCAGAGAGAAAAAGACACATGAATCAAAACTTTCTTATGGTGTAAGGTTGGCTTAGTAGACCTGTACTTGACTCGCAACAAATGAAGTTAAACCAGACGGAATGAATTTTAGCCAAAAATTGGTGAGAATCGTTGTTGATTTGAAAATGGATCATGCAAGCCAACGAATTTTTAAGACAAGCACACGTTATGCTATGCGAAAGAGAAGTAACCGAGACACACAAAGATATGCACATAAGTAAGGAAGTGCTAGAAGCAGAAGTAAGAAAAAGCAATGTAAAATCTCAGTCAAAAGACTCGTAACAAGTGAAGTATGGCAAATTTTATGGAGACGGTGAAAAACATAATAGAGAGAGCCTCTAAATTGATGGGGAAAAAAATTTATGCTTTCAACCGGCCAAGTTTCCTTACATTTTGTTATAGCACACGTATATATTTCCACAACATGTATGCATGACCGAGGAAAGGACCGTCCGTTAATAACTGACATGTACTGATTTCAGGAATGAGATACATGGGGGGAAAAACTTCTAACTGTATACATCTGGTCAGAGAAAAACCTTCGCTGCATCGGGCCTCTGGCAGAAAACAAATTTCCACGAAAATGCAATACATATCTTATCTGCATATATCTATAGAAAAAAAGAAGACACAAAAAATGACAAATTGCAAGAGAGTGAGCCTTTGCATTTTGACAGTTAGTTTTGTAGAATTGTTCTGAGTGTGAGTACACCTTTGACGAAAGTACCTGTTCGAGCTCACATTCTGTCGTATTAGTATCCAAATACATTGCTGTTCCAGAAGTTGCAAAAATGGAAGCCCCAAAGCCTCAAAATATGTATATCGTACATCCAAACTCTTTACAATCAGTTGGCCCCTTCTCTTGTAGTTGTGGACTCAGGGATTTTTTGCCTCACAAATTGGCCTTTTATCCTCGGTCGCTGCTCAGCAAGTTTTTTCCTACTATAATATCTAACCTGTCAGGGGGAAAAACAATGTTAAAAATAACGGATATTCTTTACCCCAAAGAAAGTAGTTGATACCCATTTAAAAGAAATATATACCAATAAACAGAAGATTTCCAGAACTCTGAAGCAATTTACTGCAAGTATGCAAATGGTTCATGCTTACGCATAGATGTTCCAGTCCTAGAACCCAAATGTTTGTCCGAGCAGGAGAGTTTATTTTAGCTAACATATTCTTCATTGTCTCTTTAATTGTAATATTGTATTGTTGTAAAACTGTTAATTTTACAATCACTTGATGCATGAGTGACTAAAATCTGATATGCATAACTTTTTGTTTATATGCAATGCAAAACATATTAGTCGAAATGAACAAAGTGAATCAAGTAAGTTGATTGCGTATGATGTAGTGTTGAAGGTGTTTCCTTAGATTGAATCTAAGGTGCCACCTTAGGAACACTTTCCCCTGCTCTAATATATAGCATATATAGCATATATAACAGTTCTTGTGTGTGCATGTGTGCACGTGTATACATACACACAGACACCACTACACCACTAGCACCAAAGCCATTCATATATATCAAACAGTGATGACCTGCATAGTAGAATTTGTCTTCACCTAGATCAGAGAGAAATTCCCCATCTCTGTCTGAAGTAAGTTTTGAATCTATGACCACTCATGTCACAATCAAGTACATTTTTCAAACTCTCATCAAGTTCCTGTGACTCTGATTGATAGTTAAGCGTTTTAGAACTATAAAATTTAACTTTAAAGTCTGCTAGACGACCAAAAAAAGAATCAGATAAAATATAAAGTTTGACATCAACAAAACTTATCACACCTGAAACTTAAACTGCAAATGGAATTGGAAAGGAGAAAATTACTAATTACCTTTTTCTCAAAACATCTGTCTTTCCGCTTCAAGCGGAATTTCATCAAGGCAGCTTCACGACGAGAACGGTCACAGTCCGAAAACTTCCTGTTGCAGTTCTGCACACCACTCTCATTCCCACTTTCTAGAGCAATTCCTGCATTTCCAGCTACATCCTGGCTACAGCTACCACTCTGGTAAGCTTGTTCCAGGTTATTGCACAACTCTTTCGAATCACCCGGTTCAGACATGTCAATTTCTTGTCTCCCGTTATGAGGGTGATCAGTTATTACATGGGAATATGTTTGATGATTGTTATGATGGACAGAATGATGAGAAGATGGAAACTGAGTTGTGGATCTCTCAGCTAAACTCTGTAGTGCCTCTATAGGTTTTGGATAGAATACTGGCATACCTCCATAACCTGCACATAAGCTCTGATAAGGTATTGCACCAACAGGAACTGGTACCGGTATGAAACCAAATGGTGATGTGGGGCAATGAAGAACAGTGTCCTTCGTAGTGGATGTGTGACCAGCAGGATCATTGTCTTCTGGCTGAGAAGGCAGGCTAGCAACCTTCTTGTCAGTGGATGAGATCTGAAAATAGACCATGGTTTCGCCTTCCTTGCCCTGATGAGATGACAGTGTCATCTCAGTATGAGAGAGTTGTGTGTTCTTTTCATTATTGACCACATTATTGCTTATAAGGGAATAGTTTTTGACACATTCACTTGTTTTGACACATAAATCTGAAGAAGCTGACTTATGAAAAGAAGGGATCGTCTTCTCTCCATACCTGAAAAGGGAGATGACTATCTTAGAAATGTGTGCTTAAGAAGGAAACTTAAAAGGCCCTATTAACAATTCAGGCCCACCACACAAGCACAGTAATATAAATTTAAAAAAAATCCATAAGTTTTTTCGCTATTATTGGTCGAAACATTGCGGTTCGACAATGATTACAAAAAATTAACATGTCAGAGGCAAAGGCCTTCATACATTTGAATCAACATATGAAATATTCATCAGCTTTCGATTTCCTTATATTTCAGCTGCGAGTGATGTCTATTGTCATCATGTTTTATGGTGAAAAGTGAAAACAGTCTAAAATATTATTTAACTATTTTTTCTATTTCAAAAATATAATTTGATATCATAAATAGAAGAATCCTAATACATCTATTGCGTATCCATGAATGTTAAGAAGCGTCGGAAGATCATCCAAAAGAGTGTTTGAAATGAAATACATAAAGTAAACTTTAGAATGCATGTACATAATGTAGGTAATTCTGTATTTTCAAAAATATGCATATAGAGAGAATTCCTCAAAATAATTACCTCGAAAAGGCTGAGGAGACAGAATGTTGTAAGACATGCTTTCCTTTCAGCTCTGGTTGTACACAGCTAGCAGACTGAGGTCTCCTCATAGAGAGTTCCCATAAAGGCGAAGGGCCAATATTTGATGTCCCATTTACATAAGAAGGTTTTGCAATTTCATGTGATCCATCTTTCAATAGAACATCCCTTTTCAAAAGAGCATAATTACATAGTCCATTAGATACTGGCTCAACAAAGACCATCATGTTCTGCATAGACTCGTTTGGAGCATTCTTCTGACTGTGGGATCTAGGATCATCATTGTTGTCATTGGTATACTTTACAGCATCCAAAATTTCCTCCCTGTTTGAGGAAATATTGTGAGGTTGGTTCTTTTCTTGACCTACATTAGCCATCGAAATTTCTTGAATGGGTAAAGTTGTCCTAACAAGCTTATCTGCAAGGGAAAGATGAAAATATTCAATTGCCTAGATGATCTGCACTTTGAAGGAAGAAAGCCTAAAATTTGCTTACAGTCTCCTGCATTGCCAACATTGTCCATCTTCGATCCACTTGCTCCAATTGTTGTATCTTTAGCAGAAAAGTCTGGGTTGCGCTCCCTCTTACTGGTACACCTATCTTCAACTCGAGGAGGTTCTTCATGCTTCTGTGTGCTTTCAATTTCTATATCTTGTTTACTACCTGAACTCTACTCACACCAATCCAAAAAAAGTAAAAAATTAAGACCTAACAAATAGCCAATAGCATAAACTTATATCTATTGCTACTTGCTAGTTGTCAAGATGTAGGCTCACCAGATACATGTAATTCATAGATCGGTAGCAGTTTGTACAGTCACGTGCTTACCTGAGCATCACTTTGTTGATCGCTGTTTTCCCCGGTCTTGGATATGCCACCAACATTTGCACTAATTTGATTGCTGGCAGTATTGTTCTCTGATGCATTCATGTCTCTGTTCGCCTGCATGAAGAATATAACAATTCAAGCCAGAGCATGAAGTAACCTATCCAAATGTAATGAAAGGAAGTATATAATGCAAGGTACAAGTCGGGATAACATACACAATGCCTCCTCCAAACATGCTGCCACAGGTTTCGCAGCTCATTTTTTCTAACTGGCTTCACAAGAAAATCTACAGCACCCTTTAACATGCACTTAAGTACCACATTAACGGAGTCATGGGTAGACATCACTGCAAGAAAAGATATTAGATCCATCAGAGCGGAGACCCGTGAGAACTACTCATTTTCTGTTTGAGTCAATCAAGTAGGGAGTAAGTAGTCCACGTAAAGATGAAGCCAGAAAACAGCTTAATGTTCACGAGGCACCGCAGTCACAGGGACACACGGTGCTATGTTTTCTATGTTAACAAAGAATAAAATGTTAGCCTTGACAGCAAGTATTTTTCTTCTCCGTTTAAAATACTCATAAAGTACATACTTATAGCAATCTGGTAGTTCATTATTAGCCTCTATTTCATAATTTCTGCTCTATGTTGAAAGAGAGAAAAAGAAAACATCAACAGCATTTCATGTTGCAGCTCAAAAAATTCTAGCAGGATAAACAGGTGTCTGTTGGAATAATAAACTTGAACTACCGCATGATTTGGAACTTTGATTAGTATGTCTTATTATTTTATTTTCCAAATCAGCTACTCATTTTCCACAGTAGAGAGAAGAGCAATCTAAGAGATCATTCATTTCCTCCTTTCCTCGTTTCCGGGCTCGAAATTTCCCAACATGGCTTTGGTATTATTCTAAGTATTAATTAGCCCTCAAATTCTTCGAACGTAAGTAGCTAGAACAACTACACCAATATGAAAGCAAGATTAACTGCGTTCTGCCTTCAAATTCAATCAATTTTTCAGCTTTCGTATCAGTAATCACTGTTCACTGTGAATTCGCAGTTGCCGATCTTCGCCAACCGAACTTCTCTACTCCAAATTCATCTTAAAAAACAGATGAATGGAGACAACTCGATTGAGAAAACACGAAGACGTAATTATCAATCAAATAACCGAAGTAAACTTACTGATAACGGGAATATTCTTGCACTCTTCAGAGCCCATGATCTTCGTCAGGAGCCCGATCCCCGACAGCGAAGGCGTCGCAACTTCGGTCAGCACCAGATCGAACCCGTACCGCTTCTCCTTCATCACCTCCCAAGCCTTCATCCCGTCGGCGACCCCCGCGACTTCAAGCAAATTACACAAAAACCCCAGCCTCAGCATCGAAAATTCCCCCAACCAAAAAAAAATTCAAAAAAAAAACGTAACGATAATAGAAAATCGAGGTCGAAGCTACCTCGGTAATTGCACTTCCGGAGCAAAGCGGTGACGATCTGGCGGGTCGAGTCGTCGCCCTCGACGAGGAGCACCCGCAGCGATCTGCTCATCGCGTGCGGATCACGTGACGAGGCCTCCGCCGCCGGCGATCTCTCTGATTCTGCTTCGTTCTCCGCCATCGAAGAGAGAGAAAGTAGAGAGAGAGAGAGAGAGAGAATGAAGAGGGGGGAAGGAGAGGGGGAAAAGGCTAATCCGTGGCCAAGCCGACTTCGAGAGAGGGGGGAGAGGGAAAATATCTGATCGCCTCGGGTGCCACGTCAGCAACGAGCCTACGTGGGCCTCCCGCAGACCACTGTCGCTCTTTTTCCTCCACCCGACCGCCAGCGGGCCAGATATTTTCTCCGCGCGCAACTCGGCCGCACCTTTGTTCTCTCGGGGGTTTTTTGGTATCGGCCCCTTGAGTCTTTAGCGTTTTGAAATAAGCCCCTCAGTGAAATTGTTATCCAATCCCTCAGTGAAATTGTTTTCGGAGCAATATTCCATTTAAGTTAACACCAAACTAGACACTTTCTTTTAGGGGGTGTTTGTTTCAAATCCTATAATTTTAGGATATGGATTTTACTATGGGATATGAAATCTATAGGTGTTTTGTTATGAGTTGAGATTTCTAAAATATTGTTTGTTTTATTAATATTTTGGGATTTAGAATACTACAATTTATAATATTTTGTTTGTTTCAAGCTCAAATTGTAGCATTACCAAATGCCAAAATTTTATAACATGATGAATATGCTATCTTGATGAGGCTACCATCCAGAAAAAGACAAATTTGGGATTTGTCAAATCCTCTCTAATTGAGAGGTAAGCACACACATTTATAGGATTTGTCAAAATCCAATTGAGAGGATTTGGCGAATTCTAAAAATTGAGCACTTTTTGAACTTTTGGGATTCAATATTCTAAAAAATTTCTTAAAACAAACATCATATATAGAATCCTAAAATACAAAAAAAAAACTCATTTTTTGATCCCAAAACTTGTAATCCATAGCAAATGTCAAAATTTTTGGTGAAACAAACACCCCATTACCAAAAAATGTTAAGCCATGGATTTTGAGATCTGAGACTTTGTTTACGCCTGTTTCTTTAAACTCCATTTTCCAAATGCTTTGGCATTTAAGGGATTAAACATTAAACAAGTAGGGGGACTAATATGTGTACAAAGTTAATTTTATTCTTCTTCTTTTTTTTATAGTTGGTGCTCACCTGAAAATGTGACCGATTAAAAGGACCAAGGGGAACTTTTGAGTTGGTTAGGCACTAATATCGAGGGGTCGCCATCGGTGAAAGAAAGCGATGCTTCGCAATTAAAGGTTTGCTAATTGGCTAATTAGCTAGCCGCGTGTTGACAGTTTAGAGACGGGATGGTGTTAAAAATGATGCACAGCTTGGAGTTATGTTCTGAGATTGAGAGGGAAGAAATTTTTTCCAAATACCCAAAGTATGAGACTAGCATGGGAAAAAGTAAGGTGTCTCCTTTCTATTGCATAATGAGCTGGTCATCACCTCACATGTCCCCGTCCTATTGCATAATGTGCTGGCTATCATTAATGATGACCAGCTCATTATGCAATAGGAGGGAGACACCTCACATGTCTTCTCTGTTGGTCCCAAATTTTGGGTGCCTGTATCAAAGCTCAGGAGGGAAGCCATGAACTATGGGCCTTGAAATGCTGAGTGTTGAACGTGACCATGAACCGGAGCCCAACATTAATGGTAATTATGGAGGGCCGTCTTAGACTAATATATGGGTCTCTATGGGTAAAGCATAAATTGTTTTGCATTTCATTTCCTTAGCATCTCAATCACAACCTTTTTGTCTCAATGTGACACAATGTTCACTGACCAATTTTTTTGTCCTTGACTTTTGTGTAAACTGTGAATAGAGCCTTTCCTCATTCATATGGGCCGCGAACTGGGAATGTTAGGACCAAGAGATTAATGGGCTGGACATTCCCGATAACTTCCAGCATTATGGAGGCCCATGCAGACTAGTTTTGCGTGAGTAGTTGGAGCCAGCATAAATTATCAAACGTAAAAAGGATTTCACAATAATTACCCTATATACCCCTATAAATTATAAATAAATAAATAAATACAGTTATGTAATTTCCGTGACTTAATCCCATCAATATCAGCACCTTCCACTTCTTTGGGGATTGCTTGCATCTTTCACGAAAGCACCTAGAAATCTCAAATTTGCAGGATTGCCCTCCTCTCTCTCTCTCTCTTTATATACCCCTGCTACCCACTGCTTAACCCTAAAAAATTCCCCAGATCTTTATCTTCAATAATTTCTCTCCTCTCTCTCTCTCTCTCTCTCTCTCTCACATCCCCGATGCAGCCAAACGGCAATCCCCGCTATAACAAACTCGGCGTCGTCGCCGACGATACTAAAAACCCTAGCCCTAATGGCGACTATCCTGACGGAAAATTCGTTGCCGTAGTTGTCGCCGCTTTCATCTTCGCGGTGGTCGGCCTCGTCGCTTTCTTAGAGTGGCTCTCTTACCACCCTGATTTCCCTGATTTCTCCGTCTCGAGCTTCGAGGTCTCCGGCTTCAACCTCTCCTCCGATTCTCTCACCTCC